ACGCATCCCCTCTCCCTGGCATTGCTGGGTGAGCATTGGGAGCCGAAGGTGCCGAGTGTCCCCGGAGCGCGTGTGCCCCTGCGAGGACAGCGGCGATCCAGGTCGCATCCCAAAAAATACCCAGGCGGGACACGAGCCGGGTTGGGAACACGGGCACGGAGGAGGTGCCAATGTTGACTCGTGAGTTGTATTTTGGGTGTGAGATAAACAGCTGCTTCCTCCTGCGGTTGGGTCACGGCAGAGCACGGTCCAGCCGGGCAGGAAAACACGACGGCTGCCAACTGGAGAGGGCTCCTGCCCGGAGCGCCCCGATGGAGCAAAGGTGGCTCCGGGGTGTCAAACCGGCTCAAAATTCCCCTCGCATCGGAGTCTTTTTGCACGTCGACAGGGATGTGCGGTCTTCCGCCAGCGTGTCCCTCGGGGTCTGTGCCTGTAGTGCTCGACAGGCAGAGTTTTACGGAACTGGAGGGGAAAAAAGGGATTTTCTTCAGCTGTTGCCCCACCCTTGACCTCCAGCCTTGTCCTGAGCCCCATTCCTCCCGGCAGTGCCTCCGCGGCGGGCGCAGACGCAGCACGGAGCCACGCTCCAAGAGCATCCTGGTTTTCATCACGCGGAGCACGGGCACGGGAAGGATTCACCCTGCCCTTGGGCTGCTCCACGTGAGCTTGAGGGGCACGTTCCCCCGTGCGGAGGAAATCCCGCCGGTAAACAAGCTCGGCAGCTGCCAGGGATGAATTCCAGCCGCGTGGTCCATGCCAGGGGCAAAGCTGTCCGACCTGCCCTGCGGCGGGAGCGCTCCGTGCTGCTCTGCCTCCGAACCGCTCGCTTTTAAAGGCTCGGGTAAGTGTTTTCTGCATCTCGTCCTCCCCAGAGCACATCAAGGCTAAAAATCCAAAGGATTTTTCCATCCCGGAGGTCCCAGCGGCCACCAAAGGGGCAGGACCATGTTGGGAGGTGCTGCTGCCTCAAAGCTTTGCTCCAATGGGTGCTGGTGGTCCGTGCCCGAGCCCTGCGGGATGAGCAGAGGGCTGAAACAGCCACCCTGGCACCGGTGCTGGGCGGCCCCACTCTCCTTGGCCAAATGCCACTGGGGGAACTGGGTTTCGCCGTCACTCGATCCCCGTGGCGGCTGGAATGTCCTCTCGGGTGCTATTATATAAGGAGGGGGCCAAGGATCCGGCGCTCAGGGCAATGGCTGCACGGAGAGGGGTGTAAGGCAGGAGCCGGGACGCGGCGTTGAGGTCCCTACGGTGAGGTCCTGGGGGGCCCCAGCCCCGGGCAGCGCTTTCACCGAGACACTGTCACTGAGCACCCCCGTTTTGGCCGGGGTGGGATAGGGCAGGGTGGGCAGTGGTGAATTCCATGCCGGATCCGGTCTCAACGAGGAAGCCCTGTGCCTCAGTTTCCCCAGGGCTGCAGGCGAGGAAATAGGGCAGGATTTGGCTTTCAGGGTTGTCCGAAGCAGCGGGAGCCACCACGGCACATCGTCGCCTTCATCCCAAAACCGGACACCTGCTT